TCGTCACTTAGTTGCCATCAGGAGCCACTTCCACAGTAAACTGTAATAATGCGATCACCAGCGAATGGATCAGCTGTTTTCAAGTAGCAAGACAATGCGTTTCGTAGCAGTAAATACCATGTGACTGATTCACCAGAAAGTATGTAATTGTACTGATGAAGCACTGCTGTTCGAAAGCATGCGGTAAAGTTTTCCCAAGTAAATCAATCGATTTCCGTGCACTTTTCGCTGGCGTTGTAATCATTTAGTAGCTCTGCAACGTGCTTCACTATGGGAGTTCCGGATGATGCACAGGTGATCTTTTTGCGCTAGTGAATTCAAGCTGCTACAGCAGAATTGGGACTTCTAAGCACCGCTCAACCCTTAATGTGGGGCCAGGCTACTTAGGAAATTTAATTATCTCTTGATAGAAAAAGCTTCTCTAAGGCTTTGTAGAATGTGGTTCATATGATCACCATATCTTTGCTTCTACAGCTACATTTATTTAAATGTTGGGGGGGGGGGTGGTGATGCAGTGGCAATTGATGCCACTGAGCACGCGCACGGTCAGGATCAAACCGGAGTCATACGCCGTCTAAAACAACAGAGCCTTTCATCTTTTTCGGTCTGGTTGCATCAACGATTGTATGGCAAGATAAAAACACGACTTATACACTGGTTGTCCCGTACGGTACTTACAGGCCGAATCTCACTCAATTGCCCCTACGATTATCAATAGAAGTAGGATGTATGGCGCATTCCCGAAAACAGATCGATCAACGCGGACGCCTTTACCATTCATCCTCTACTTGTCATATTTCTAATTTCTACAATCCTAAATATCATCCTAAATAAGTAGGAAAAGAAAGCATTAAATGAGACGTTCTATAAGCGCTAGACAAAAGATTTTAGAGGAACGAGCCAATAATTCAATTTTTTTCATAAGGCGGAATAATATGTTGGGTAAAAAAAGATTCTCTCAGAAACAGTCGACTTTATTTTCCTTAAAACTCAAAGGGTCCGCATATTTTTTCTCTTGACACGTAATAATAATTATTACTTTGTTAATCAGCACGGCGCAATTTCGATCATTCTTCAAGTCCACGTCATTTCCTCCTGCTACACCTATCGCTTACATATTCAAAGTTCTAGAAACCCTGGTACGTGGAAGAGACGTTGTTTTTTCGGAAACATACACTTGAGTCCTTTCATAGCTCTAGACAAGGCTAGGGTAAGAGCGTAGAGTAGGGTAGGGTCATTACAACGCTCCCTGAGCTTCTCTTCCTCTCTTCATATGGTGTCTAGCTTTATGAGGAGTTCAATGGCTGGCGCTCTTATGTGGGAGCAGAGGCGAGATCGGGTGGGTTCGACACAGCTGTTTCTTGGTCAATGAGCGCAATACCCCACGTAACAAACGCAATGTTTCAGCTGGCTGGCCAGCGTTGAATTTCTCTCATAGTTTTCCCTGAACGTCATCGTTTCACAGTCTTCCTCGGCTGCAAGAACTTTACTCATTTCCTGCAAGGGGAACCGTTAAAACTATCGTTTCATTTTTCTCTCACGATCTTGTTTTTCCTCAAGTTCCCCGATGTGGCTAAGACCGACGCCTGTGAACTGGTTCACTTGTAGAACGTTGGGCGATGATTGTGTGCATGCGTGTAGGTGTGTATGTGTGTACTTCAGTGTTAATACAGTACTTGACCGAGCCGTCATCGGAATGAGTAGGCACGGAGTGTGAGGGTTTGACCGACCGCCCCGTCCGTACGTCTGTCGCTTACATGGATCGTCGGCGGTACGGGGCTGGGTGGGTGGCCATTACATACAGTCGGCTGACTGTACATTAGTTGACCATAACTCCGAGTGTCTCTAAATGGTAGGTGCCGAGAGCAAACAAATCGCCCCGTCGATGCATGCACACGATTTGTCCTATATGTTCACCGACAATCAACGACATCGTCTTCTACCGCCCGCACACACACACCCGGGCAATTCCTCATCGCCGGGTTCCTTGAGTGGTCCCGTAATGTTGTGATAATCTCATATGATTGCCCTTTAACCAGCGCCCAGCCCCCTCCACATCATTGAAAGGCCACGTTAAACTGTCTCTGCTCGAAAGAACTAAGCGCGGTCGTAATTTTAAACGAGACTGTGGGACAATTTCAAATTGCAATCTGCCTATTCAATTGAAAAGTACACTTTGGTTGAAACGTTATGCTCTGAATGCACGCGTGTTTACTTCCATCATTTGTTATCGATCAATATCTATGATTTCCTCGTCATCGTCTATCTCGAGTTTTAGTGACTCTGCTTCGAATTTACCAATTAAAATTCACGTGGCATTTCAGGAAGATGCTGTTAGTCTGTGTATTCTTCCTCTTTGGGCATCTTCTTGCCGCACACGGCGAGGATACGGTAAGGCTTTAGAACGTATCGCAGCTCTTAAGATATAGATTTTCTTATTTTACAAAAATTATGTACTTTTATAGCCTTTCAAATGCGTCAACACCGATGACGACTGCCCATCGAAAATGTGTTTCTATAGTATAGATCACGAAGAGGTAATTTTTAACAAATTGGTAATATTGTCTCTTCGAATGGAGTAAAGTAGGGTGCTGTAGGTAGTTTCTAAAGATAGACCCAAATTACTTGAATTTAAGTTAGAATATTCATACCAAGGATGCTTACCCAATAGGTGACTCTACATATTCTTATGAGATTTTTGGAATTTTTCAATTTGAAATTGATTTTGGCGTTTAGGTCCCCGTTACCCTATGCTTTCGGTTTTAAACCGGACCAAGCTGATTTAGTTGCAAAATAGGATAACAGAATGGCAAATTCTCCGAAAATCCAGGAGAATAAGCGAACATCAGGGTATTTGGTATTTTTCTGAAAGTGCTCAATTGCTCAAGTACTGTGAGCAATTGTAAAGTGCCGAGCAAAAGCGAATGCTAATTTTCTAATTGAAAACGAATTTTCAAGGAGAAATTTTCGGTTTCAAACAGGTTCACACACATCGTTCTGCAAATGAGTACTATAAATACTTTTTGGGTGTCGATTTTCGATTTGAAGCGATTTGTTCGCATCAATTTCGTCACTCTCGAATAAGCGGTTTTTCTAGTGACGAAGTGCAAGTGCTGAAGAGGAGATCTTATTCATTTGAGCCAATTTTTCTTTCGAGATGAAAAAGAGAGTTTGGTTTCATCATAGAGCTTTATGTACATACACAGTAACTATGCATAGATTCACGAAATGGATTTTTCGGATTGAAGCGAAGTTATTTTTGAAACCCGTTCAATGGACATCGATATATAATATATATTTAAAATAGTGCACCATAATATGCTCATCCAGATTTTATTTGAGATATATTCGGAAGTAAGTTTTGGCCAGTACTGTTTGAATGCATGAAATACTTGTAAGCCTAACAAAAGTAACTCTTTAAGTGCTGTTTAATATTCAACTGGCCGCGTATATTTCCCTCATTCTTGCAAGGAGCACACCCATTTTCTTCTCTTTCTTGTATCCGTTCTTTTACTTTAATAATGTACTTTTATGCAATTATGCTCCTCGAGTTCGATAAACTACGCTATATTTCGTCTCTATTCCATTCGGCTTTTGTAGGAAAAAATCTACTTCAAACATCGCCGCTAGTTGGATTTCAAAAACCTGCAAAGATTTAGCGATTGTTTGTTAGAAATGCCCTCGAAAACATTCTACTTCTTTTTCGTCCTTCCAACTTCCCCACAAGAGAGGACTCCTTTAGAGATTCCACGAATATTCAAAAATGGTGTATTTATAAGGTATTTGTATTACGCTCAACTCGGAAACTATGTTGATATTCTCCAAATGGATACGTCACATCATTTTT